CGCCTATCCTTCCCTGTCTCCCATCCCTTCCACCCACTTGTCGCTCTCTCGTAAGCAAAGACCACAGTGAAGGCTCAATCCGCCTTCTTCTCTGGCTGCCGTCACACCTCGAACAGCAACCATCAACCACCATCATCATTCAACCAGTACATGTCGTCACATCAACCCAACGAACATCACATCGCATCGCATTCGCCCGTCCATCCATCCATCCATCCCCATCCATCCATCCATCAGCGTTTGACACGCACACCCACCACCATCGTCAGCAAAGCACGCACGCATGGCGCGATTGCAAGGGGTTGTGGTGGCTGCCGTGGCGGCGATGATCGTCATCGTGCTGCTTGTGATGCAGGCGCGCCTCAACGCCATGAGCGATACGGTGAAGCAGCTACAGACCACCCTACAGTACTCGCAACAGACTGGAGGCGCAGCGCTCGTCGCCGGCAGTGATGCCAGTGCACACGGCGCACGCGGTGCGCGGGGAGATGTTGACGACGCTCTAGGCCAGAGCGTGGATCAGCTCACACATATGGTGCAACAACTCCAGGGCGCCTTCAAGGCCCTCAGTGCCGCCTTGGATGACCAGGCTGTCCAGCAAGAACAACTCAAGCACAACATCGAGCAACACCAACAGCACCAAGGAGGGCCCCAGCATGCGCAAGGCCAGCAGCAGCAAGATCAACCCGCCAAGGCTGCACCGGCAGAGTCGGAGGACGACGACGACGCATTCAGCCATTCCATCAGCGAGCGGGATCCGCGCAGACTGTGCATTGCCGTGCCCTCGGCTGCCCGCCCCGGCGCACCCATGGACCTCATCCTCTCCCGCCTCAAATCCCTCCGGGAAGAGATTGACGGCCACAAGGACAGGGTCGTGCTTCGCCAGGCATACTCTGCCCGCAACAACGTCCAGCAGCGACAGTATGCGCGGCAGCTCGGCTTTGTGGTGGAGGTGGACACGGTTGGCTGGAAGGACCTCAACGCACCGGACATCAAGCTGACCCTCGGCGATCCGATTGACCGCGTGCGGTGGCGATCGCGCCAGGTCGCCGACTTTGCCATGACCCTCAAGCGGTGCGCAGAGTTCAATGTCACGCACGTGCTGCTGCTGGAGGACGACGCGTCGCCGGCCAAGAACTTCACCACCAAGATGTTCAACCGCATCAGCGCCTTGCCCACGCAGGACTTTGGGTACGTGTCGCTGTACAGCGGGCTGAACCCGCCCCCGCCAGCGCCGTGGCGCGAGCTCACGGCCAAGGACGACGAGGGCTGGTTCCACGGCGGGGACGGGCGGCACGGTGCAGTGGCCCTGCTCATGCACCGCAAGCACGTGCCTGGGCTCGCAGACTTTTTGCTTGAGAACAAGCTCGAGCGGCCCGTGGACTGGCTCATCCCAGGATACTTTGGCGCCATGCTCAGGCTGAGGAACTTTGAGCTCATCCCAAACCTCGCCCAGCACATATCCTCCCACTCCACACTGTCGAAGAACAAGAACAGGGAGAAGTGGAAGTCGCACAGCTTTGTCTACGACGAAGCAGAACAACAACAGCAATAACAACAGCAATAGCAGTGGCTCTCATTTGCAGATGTGGTTGGTGGTGGCTGTGGTTGTGGTTGCGGTGTGGTGGTGATTGTGATCCAGCATCTGTATGTAAGCGCACGGGCGGAAGCGCGTGCCTGCGCGTGTGTGAGGAGGAGGAGGAGGGGGTGGTGGGCATATGACCCGGCGGCCGTTTGGGGGTGACCCGCTTGTGACGTGTGTACAAGGTGTTTATACAGTCGCAACTTCAGTCAGCCATTAATGAACCAACACAACGACTGCTGCTGTTGACGTTGTTGTCAAGCACACATTGTGAGAACCAACAGAGAGGGGAAGGGGGTGGGGCAACCAATAATAGCTATGAGTGAAGAAGGGAAGGGGGGGGTAGATGTGATGTGGGGCACTGGGAAATGAAAAGGGACGCATGATAGTAGGGGCGCATGTGCGACGCACCAACACGCTACAATGCAACGCACACTGAAACACACGTATACACAAAAGCTAGGATGTGCACAGAAACATGCGCACATATGCACACAGGGTATACGCACGTGCACAACACACACACACAGACACACACACACACACACACAGACACACACACACACACACACACACACACACACACACACACACACACACACACAAAACAGACAATGAAGCACAACTTCAGGAGGCCAGCGAATAGGAGCGGCCGGTGGAGGGCAGGGTCCAATCGGCTGTGCCGGATGCGTCTGGTGAGCGCTTCCGAGCAATAGCAGTCACCATGGCGAGAACCAGGCACGCAGCTGCAGTCAAGTAATGTGGGGCAGCAGACACGGAGTGATTGGGTGAGCATCGATCGGGCACAAAGATTTATGCAAAGTGATGGAGGAGGAGGGAGTGAGAATGAATGCAGGAGTGCCGTCACAGCAGCAGCAGCAGCAGCAGCAGCAGCAGCTGGCAAAAGCACATACTCTCAACAACGAAGAACGAGCACACACAACACCACACACAGCACAGTACAACACACATAGCACGGAACAACACACCACCAACATCAACAACAAGCAGCACGACATCACGGCAACCATGTACGATCAGTCATGTGCAGGAAAACCCCAGCAGCATGCAGCAGCACAAGAACGCACCGACTCCGGAGATGACAGCGATAAGAGTGAACGCGCGTGTGCGGCGCTGGGTCGTTGCGGTGTTGTTGACACGCCCGCGCCCAGCACTTGAGCGGCGCGCACGGGACCTGGAGGAGGGTGGTGGCGAGCGGTCCGTTTGGTCGTGCTCGTCATCAAGTGCATCCCCAGCGTCGTGATCACGTGGAAGCAGGACAGTGATGTGCTTGTCCCCCTGGCTCTGCAGTGAGGCCAAGAGCATGCTGTCGCGCTGAAGATGCAGCTCAAGCATGTTGCCCATAGCCACGCCAGCGCCCCCCTCCACTGGCTCTTCCCCAAGATCAGCAAACGGCACCGACACGTGCGCGTGCACAGCAAACACGGTGGATGCCGGAGACACCGTCGCACTCTCATCCGCAAGCGGGTGCGTTGTGTCCTGCACTCGAAACAAAAGCGGCCCAGTTGTCCGCAGCGATACCACACCGCTCTGCGCGTGCACGGGAAGCAGGGTGTTCTCTGAAAGCCAGATGGTGAGAAGAACGTGTTTCCGGTCAGACGCATGCCCGTGGGGCTCAGCTGCTGCCACTGCAAGTTGCCGGCAGTTGGAGAGGCGAATGCGGCTCAATGGCACGTCAGCAACGTTTGGCTGCGAGGACAACTCTTCCTGTGCAATCTGAACGCTCACAAACGCCACCGCGCTCACAGCACCACCGCCGCGTGTGCCAGCGACTGACTCCGCCACTGCTGTTTCCGCAACAGCAGCAGCATCCGTTGCACGTGGTCCGGTATCGCCACCAAGGGAGCTTGGGTCGGCAGCGAAGCGAGCAGTAGGTGCAGCGGCAACAAGGATGGAATCGCCATCATCGCCACCGGCAGGCACTGGCACCTGCGCAACAACAAGGCGGCTCGATGCGCTGACAACAACGCCAGCGCTCTCTGCCAGCGGGGGCCCCTGTCTCCTTCGTCGTTCGTGGTACGGCTGCGGCTCTGCACCGACACCTGTGGGATCATGTCTGCTGCCGTCGCTGCTGCTGCCAACAGGGGACGGTGCAGGAGATGTGCGCAGGCCTGCGGGGGCACCTGGAGCCGGAGCCATCGTCGCCTCAGCGTCCAAGATCAAACGGTACAGCAGGTCGCCGTCAAGCAAGTCTGTGAATGTCTGCAGTGCGTACACGAGGCGGTCGGCGGTGGCGATGAGCTGCAGCTCTGTCTCGTCGACATCTCCAACACCAATGGCGACGACAACAGCGCCCGTTGCCTTGAGCGCGCGCGTGGCGTTCGGCAGAGTGGCCGTGTCCTGCGCCTTGCCATCAGAAACGACGACAACAAGCGTGGGCTGCAGTACCGTTCCCGTGGTGTTATCGGTGTCCAACAGAGAATTGGCGACAGTGTCCAGCGCACGGGCGGTGTTGGTGCGGGTGCCAAGGTAAGGCATGCCCGCAATCAGGGAAAACACGCTTGCTCCACCGGAGGCAACGGAAGTTAAACCAAAGGCAACGTCCGGGTCGGTGCCGAATGCCACCGACGCAACGCGAGTGCCGCTGTGCTTCTGTGCAGTGAGAAGCGTTGCCTGGGCCACAAACGCCTTTGCGCGTGTAAAGTCTGATGCTGGAATGCTGCCACTTGCATCCACAACGAAAACAACGTCGACATCCTCTCCAAGTGTCGTCGTCGTCGTCGTCGTTGTTGTTGTTGTTGTTGTTGTTGTTGTTGTTGTTGTTGTTGTTGTTGTTGTTGTTGTTGTTGTTGTTGTTGTTGTTGTTGTTGTTGTTGTTGTTGTTGTTGTTGTTGTTGTTGTTGTTGTTGTTGTCTCTGTTGCAGTCGTGGTCGTCGTGGTAGTGCTTGCTGTGGTCGTGGTCGTCGTGGTGCTCGTGGTAGTGCTTGCTGTGGTTGTTGTTGTTGTTGCTGTTGTTGTTGTTGTTGCTGTTGTTGTTGTTGTTGTTGTTGTTGTTGTTGTTGTTGTTGTTGTTGTTGTTGTTGTTGTTGTTGTTGTTGTTGTTGTTGTTGTTGTTGTTGTTGTTGTTGTTGTTGTTGTTGTTGTTGTTGTTGTTGTTGTTGTTGTAGCGCTTGTAGTAGAAGTAGTGCTTGTTGTAGTGGTGCTGTACTCGGATGGACAGCAGTAGAGTTTTGGTCGTCGTGGTCGTCGTGTCGTCGTGGTGCTCGTGGTTGTGCTTGCTGTGGTTGTGGTGTGGTTGTTGGTGATGACGAGGATGACGTCTCGGGTGTGCTGTACTCGGAGGGGCAGCAATACAGCTTGGGCCCGCAGAAGCTGTTGAGCGGACACGCGTGCCCAGAGCGATCACAGAAGATCAACGCACCCGTGTGGTCGCGAGTCGGCTCATACGGCCCACACAACCCAGATGACGAGCTTGTTGTGCTCGCGCTTGTCGTCGTCGTCGTCGTCTCTGTTGCTGTCGTGGTCGTCGTGGTAGTGCTTGCTGTGGTCGTGGTCGTCGTGGTGCTCGTGGTAGTGCTTGCTGTGGTTGTGGTTGTTGGTGATGATGAGGATGAGGATGACGTCTCTGGTGTGCTGTACTCGGAGGGGCAGCAATACAGCTTGGGCCCGCAGAAGCTGTTGAGCGGACACGCGTGCCCAGAGCGATCACAGAAGATCAACGCACCCGTGTGGTCGCGAGTCGGCTCATACGGCCCACACAACCCAGATGACGAGCTTGTTGTGCTCGCGCTTGTCGTCGTCATCGTCGTCTCTGTTGCTGTCGTGGTCGTCGTGGTAGTGCTTGCTGTGGTCGTGGTCGTCGTGGTGCTCGTGGTTGTGCTTGCTGTGGTTGTGGTTGTTGGTGATGATGAGGATGAGGATGACGTCTCTGGTGTGCTGTACTCGGAGGGGCAGCAATACAGCTTGGGCCCGCAGAAGCTGTTGAGCGGACACGCATGCCCAGAGCGATCACAGAAGATCAACGCACCCGTGTGGTCGCGAGTCGGCTCATACGGCCCACACAACCCAGATGACGAGCTTGTTGTGCTCGCGCTTGTCGTCGTCGTCGTCGTCTCTGTTGCTGTCGTGGTCGTCGTGGTAGTGCTTGCTGTGGTCGTGGTCGTCGTGGTGCTCGTGGTAGTGCTTGCTGTGGTTGTGGTTGTTGGTGATGATGAGGATGAGGATGACGTCTCTGGTGTGCTGTACTCGGACGGGCAGCAATACAGCTTGGGGCCCGCAGAAGCTGTTTGAGCGGACACGCATGCCCAGAGCGATCACAGAAGATCAACGCACCCGTGTGGTCGCGAGTCGGCTCATACGGCCCACACAACCCAGATGACGAGCTTGTTGTGCTCGCGCTTGTCGTCGTCGTCGTCGTCTCTGTTGCTGTCGTGGTCGTCGTGGTAGTGCTTGCTGTGGTCGTGGTCGTCGTGGTGCTCGTGGTAGTGCTTGCTGTGGTTGTCGTTGTCGTTGTGGTGCTCCTCGTTGTGGAATGAACATTGTCACAGAGTGTGCGCTCGAGGCGATCCAGCACAAACGTGTCTGACGGCAGCTGCGAGTACGCCCTAAGTCGCTGCACGCCGGAATCGCCATTATCGGGCGTGCTGATGGACGTGAGCTGCGCTGCGTCCACGCCGGCGCCAATGCCAATGGACGATACAAGCACGCCTGAACGCATGAGGGCGCCCGCTGCACTCAGGAGACGGGCTTCGTCGGAGGCGGGAGCCGCTGTGACGAGAACAACCATTGTTGGCCGCGTAACGCGACCGCCAACCAGCTCGAGCACAGAGCTGTGCACCACTTCCAGCGCAAGACCAGTGTCTGTCGCAGAGCCGATGTACGCGAGGCGAGCGATGGCGCTGTCGATGTCAGCAGGCGAGGCAACGTGCTCCAATGTGAAGCCGACGCGTGTGCGGTCTCCGAACGACACGGCAGCAACACGCGTTGCACCCTCGCCAAAGTCGAACGCGCGCATGGTTGTGCGCAAATGTTCAAGAGTGTACGACCAGTCTGCAGAAGACACTGCCCGAGACGCGTCGAGGGCAAACACAACATCAAACGCCGTGTCCCGACAGCGGAAGGCGTGTGGAGCAGTGGTTGTGGCAGCAGTGGTTGTGGCAGTTGGAGGGCGAGTTGTGGTTGTTGTTGCACGCGTTGTTGTTGCACGCGTTGTTGTGATAGTGTTGGGCACGCAGTGGCATTGCACGCATCCACGCTCGTCCTCGTCGTACATGGCGCGGGCATCTGGTTTGCACAAACACGTGCGCACTTCTGGGCATGCGCCGCTGGAGGTGGTGCTTGTGCTCGGAGGTAGGGTCCGTGCTGTGGTTGACGGCCTTGTTGTTGCCGTGGACTGTGTGCGGGTTGTAAGCTGACGAGTGGTGGTCGTGGTGCCTGGCTCATGTCTGCATGCGCACACGGTGCAGCCAAACTCGTCCACGTACCAGGCGATGAAGGACCCTGGGCGACAGCGACATTGCCGAAACTCGCACACATGTGTGGTGGATGTGGATGGGGCTGTTGTTGTCGGCCCCACCGCTGTTCCTGTTGTTGTGCGTGCTGACCTTGTGGTGGTTGTGCTGGTGGTTGTGGTGTCCTCATTGTCTTCGCAGCGTACGGCGGTGACAATGTCCTGCACAAACTCGTTGGCGTTGACAACGGTGAAATCCGAGCTCCACCGCACGTGCGATTCTGTTGGCGCTGATGCGATGAGGAACAGCTCTGGCACGTTGATGTTGTCACCAACGCCGACAGCAAACACGTCGGCGCGCGCCTTGAGAAGTGGCGCAGCCAGCTGCAGCCGCTCAGGATCTTGCGTGTGTCCGTCGGTCATGACCACGACCACAGCCCGCCCACCACGGTACCCGCCCGCTGGGTTGTCGAGCACGCCGGAGAGCACCAGCTCGAGTGCTGCGCCCGTGTCCGTGGACTTGCCTGCATATGGCAGGCTTGTGAGCGCATTTGTGATGTGCTCCTCTGTGGAGTATGTGTTGAGGGAGAACTGCAGCACAGGATCGGTGCTGAACGTCACCGCAGCCACTCTGCAAACGGTTGGAATGTGCATGCGTGTATGTGTGTGTGTGTGTGTATGTGTATGTGTGTGAGTGTGAGCAAGTGTGTGTGTGTGTGAGTGTGTGCATCGGGTGATTGTATGGCAAAGGAAGCAAGATACTGGGGGAGGCACCTGCAATTCCACGACAAACACACACACACACGCACACACGCACACGCACACGCACACACACACACACACACACACACACACACACACACACACACACACACACAGATCTATGAGTGCAGACTCACTGGATGCTGTTTGTTTCGGTATCGAGGGCACGAACAAAGTGTGAAGCGAAGGTGAGCGTGTGCTGCCAATCTTCCATCCCCACGCTGCCACTCTCGTCCAAGACGAGCACGAGATCAAAGTCGGTACGGGTGCAGTCTGGAGTTGCTGCTACCAAGCTGCTTGACGGCCCGCTACAGCAGGAGATGAGCAGCGTTAACAGCACTGGCCATAGGACTGCAAGAACGCCCACTGCAGGGGCGCCTTGTGATCGCATCTCGAGACGAGTGGGACAAGCAGATGGCCTTGATGGACGCACAGATATGGAGACACAGAAGTGTGTGAGTATGTGTTTGTATGCGTATGCGTATGGGTGTGTGTGTGTGTGTGTGTGTGTGTGTGTGTGTGTGTGTGTGTGTGTGTGAAGAAGTGGGAGAGGGAGAGGGAGAGACAGAGAGAGGAGAGGAGAGGAGGGGGAAAGGAGAGGGAAAGGGTGAGACAAAATGTTTGGTTGAGTGCGAGCGAGTGTGCTGTGCGTGAAACAGCAGCGATTTGAGTCAAAGAGGGTTGGTGTCACTGACGATGGCGATGGTAATCATCAAACAAACAGGGAAGAAAGGCGTCGTGTCTGTCAAGGGATCTCGTGCATTCACAACTCAAAATGACGCGCTTTGTGTTTGTTTGGAGTGCGTGAGGGATGAGGTCAAGAGGGGGAGGGAGAAAGCTTACCCAGAGTCAGCCAAGGTACTGCCGTGCTGCAGGTGCCGCTGATTTCAACTTGTATTGCTGCTGCTGCTGCTGCTGCTGCACCTCAGATCGCCGCTGAAACCCTCCCTCCTGCTGGTGGTGGTGGTGGTGGTGGTGGTGTTTTCGGATGGTGGTGCTTGCGTCGGGGGCAGCAGAGCGCTGGCTGGGCTGGCACGAAAGATGGACGGAGTTGAACGGCACGCAGAGTGCAAGTGCGGCGATTTGTTGCTTGAGCGATACCGTGTGGGTGGGAGAGGGGTTGCGCCTGCGTCGCTTTGCAACAACGGAAGAAAGGAAGAACGCAGGCACGTCGCTCGCGACAGAGACGAGCCGTGGCGCAGCGCTGTCTCCAACGTACTACACGAGTCGCCAAGCTTCCGTCCTGGGAACAGCAGCTGTGGATGTGCGCCATGCGGCATCACCAGTGCCACGGCCAGCGCGTGATCGAGCCGCACAGCAACCACAGCAGTCACTGCGCGAAGCACGAAGCGCGCACGCCACGCACGCATGTTTCGAAACACGCACCGAAGTGCCGAATTTGAAAACAGGCTCGAAGCAATCAGCGAAGGTGGCGAATGAATGAATGGGACGGAAAAAATCGGTTGCGCAGACAAAACGCACAAGCAAGCAAGCAAACAGGCCAGCTCAGCTCGCTTTGCTTTGCTTTGCTTTGCTTTGCTGTCTGCTTGTCGCTGTTTCTTCTTCCTCCACACACGCACTTCTCTTCTCACAACACCCACCACCTTCCTTCCTTCTTTCCTTCCTTCCTTCCTTGTCCTTCTGTCTGTGCTGTGTTGTTGTGCTGATGGGGTGCATCATGAGCCTGGAGAACTCTGGAGGCTCGTCAACGGGGTGCCCGTTGATTGAAGTGAAAACACCCTCGGACAAGCTGCAGACGGCGACGTTTGCGCTTGGCTGATTTTGGGGACCCGACGTGGCCTTTGCAACAATGCCTGGGGTGTTGCGAACTCGCGTCGGGTACACGGGTGGGCACAAGAGCAACCCCACCTACTACAGCCTCGGAGATCACACAGAGGCTGTGCAGATTGAATTCGACCCCAAGGTCGTCACATTCGAACAGCTCCTCGACAAGTTCTGGTGCGCTTGCGTCGCTGTTGTTGGTTGGTGGTTGTTGGTGGTGGTGATTGTGGTGGTGTGCATGCGTCGCTGTTATTGATTGGTGGTGATGGTGGTGGTGATTGGGGTGGTGTGCATGCTGTCTTTCTCTGTGTGTCTGTGTGTATGTGTGTGTGTATGTGTGTATATGTGTGTGTGTGTCTGAGTGAGTGGATTAACAAATGTAACACATTGGTGTGATGACACGCCCTTGGTTTGGATCACCTCTTTGGTTTGTCTGCACTCCACGGTCAACGACGTACCACTTGCTTGCTTGCCTGCGCATTTCAATTTTTTTCTTCTTGTTGGTGGTGTTAGTTAGTGTCATGTAACAGCCCGTCATGTAACAACATTGCTGTCCTGCCTGTCTTGTTTGCTTGCATGAAACTCGGTTTGAACAGGGTGCAGCATGACGCGTCACGCAAGTCCAGCCGCCAGTATCAGAGCGCGTTGTGGTACCAGACAGAAGACCAGAAGCAGGCCATTCTCAAGGCAATTGAGGCCGAGGAGAAGAAGGCTCGCTATCGCGGGCGCAAGATTGCGACACACGTCGCTCCACTTGGCCCCTTCTACCTCGCAGAGGACTACCACCAGGTGCGACAGCAGTTGGTTGTTGTTGTTGTTGTTGTTGTTGTTGTTGTTGTTGTTGTTGTTGTTGTTGTTGTTGTTGTTGTGTTTCTTGTTGTTGTTGTTGTTCTTGTTGTTGTTGTTGTTCTTGTTGTTGTTGTTGTTCTTGTTGTTCTTGTTGTTCTTGTTTTTCTTGTTGTTGTTGCTGCTGCTGCTGTGGTTGTTCTTGTTCTTGTTCTTGTTCTTCTTCCTCCTCTTCTTCGGCTCCTTCTCCTTCTCTTGTTTGCGTTCTTCTACGTCTCTCACTTGCCCTCACTTGAATGCTGTCGCCGCTGTCGCCGCTGCTACTGCTCGTTTGGTCGTGCCTGCCTTGCCTGCATGGACAGAAATACTTGGACCGCTCCCTGCTCGGCCCCTCTACTGAGCACGGAAACTCTCTTTGATTGCGTGGTGCCGCCGATCAAGCCCACGCCGCACGCCTGCGCGTCATTACTACGATGACCGCTCACACACATACACACACACACACATACACACACACTTACACACAACCTTTGTTGTGCCTTCTGCTTTTTCATGTTCTGTACCAATGCGACCACGTTACATCTCAGCAGCATGCGCGAGTGTATGCTGGCATTGAATGGGTGATTGTTTTGTCCATGCTTTGTGATGCTGTTGCCGTAAAGCACTGTGTTGCCGGCCTCAGCTGATGTGCTTCGGTTGTGCACGGCTCATTGGTTCACTTTCCCCCCAGGCCACTTTTGTTTTGCCCTCGAACCTCTGCTGTGTTTGACCCATGCACGCTGGATGATTCACGTCACACACCATCACCACCACATGCACGAATGTCACAATTAAAGCACTCAAGTGTTGGGACGTGTTACAATGTGAGCGTGTGTATGGTTGAGGTAGGAAGAAAGGGTTGACAGAGATGGAAGCACAAACACAGAAACAACAATCGCACAAGCATCAAGCAGCGGCAGCAATGAGACACCCAAATTCAAGCAACACACCGCCTCAAAACACCAGCTAGACAAGACAAACTGCCAGTGCTGCTGGCAAGACAAATGGAAATCGCACGCACATGTGTGTCTTGTGCTGCACCACGGTAGCTCGAAGGCCGTGCAAAACTGGTAGGAAGCACATCACAAGGGACAAGGACAAAGAAAGAGGGGAAGAGGAGAAGAAAAGGTAAACAGAAAAGACGGGGGAAGAGGAGGGAGGGAGGACAAACGACAGTAAACCGCTGAATGAGCCTAAGCACAGCTGTGGCTGTACATGGCCACGGCAAATCACCGTCGCATCATCACCACCACCAAGCAGCCAGCTCAAGGGTTGCAGATGGCGTCAATCTGGGCCTCAATGTCATCCAGCTGGGATGAGATGAGCAGGTCCTGATCGTCGTGCGCCTCCTCGCAGTTCTGGCGCGCCGTCTCAATGTCGACGTCGAGCTGGTCAAATGCACGCTCGTACATGTCCAGGCGCTCAGCCAGCAGCTCGCGGTACCACGACAGCATGCTGTCAATGAAGCTGTCAACCTCGTCAGCAGTGTCGTTGTAGTCGGCACACGGGGTGATGCCGCCAGCGTTCATGAAGTCGTTCCAGGCAGAGATCCAGGACGTGAGCGAGGCTGTCCACGCCTTCCACTCTGGGGTGGAGATGCAAGCAGGGAGAAGTTGAACCTGGAATGAAATGATGAGTGAGTGTGTGTTGGGTGTGTGCGTATGTGTGAATGAAAATGTGTGTGTGTGTGTGTGTGTGTGTGTGTGTGTGTGTGTGTGTGTGTGTACGTGTGTTTATGTGTACGTGTGTTTATGTGCAGCCGTGCGGATGTGTGTGTGTGTGTGTGTGTGTGTGTGCTTACTGTCTCCAGTACTGGGCGGTGAAGCCGAAGATCTCCGGCCGCTGTCCTTGGATTGGCTTGCACAGACTCGCATCCTACACACAACACACAACACACGCGCACAGTGGAGTGGTGATGACTGAAATGGCGAGCAAGCGTGCAGCAACAGTGTAGCAACCACATGACCCGCCTCCCCTCCGGCAACGTACGCACCTGGCATGGACAAGCGGCCGTTGGTGCCGCTGCTGCTGCGTGCTGGGTGCTGGAACCAATCACAACAACAGCAACCAGCAACAACAACAGCACCACGTTCACTGACATCATCATCATCAGAGTGCATGCACAACAAACACAAACAACAACAGACGCCAATTATTGCGCGCTGACACACCACCACACTCACAACACGGCATGGCACGGGTGCTGTCGATTCAGAGCCATGTGGTGCATGGCTATGTCGGGAACAAGGCAGCGACCTTCCCGCTCCAAGTGCTTGGCTTTGAGGTCGACGCCATCAACTCTGTCCAGTTCTCAAACCACACAGGTGTGTGTGTGTGTGTGTGTGTGTGTGTGTGTGTGTGTGTGTGTGTGTGCTTGTGTGTGTGTGTGTGTGCCTGTGTGCCTGTGTCTGTGTGTGTGTGTGTGTGTGTGTGTGTCTGTCTGTCTGTCTGTCTGTCTGTCTATCTGTGTGTGTGTTTGCGACTGTCCCTTCGGCTTCCTCATCACCACACACTCTGCACACGTACATCTCCTCTCTTCCACACCGCTCATCCTTCTTGCCTACCTCCTCACCCCGACTCTCGCGCCTGCAGGGTACTCGCAAGTCAAAGGGACAAAGCAGACGGCCGAGGAGCTGTGGGACCTCTTCTCCGGACTCGAGCACAACGACCTTCTCTCCTACACCCACATCCTCACAGGTGCGTTGTCTCGTGCACCTGCGAGCATGCACCCATGTTTCCACACACATGGCCATGCGTTGGCATTGCACCACGCCACAGCACGTGTGCATGCACATCCAATGCCTCCGTTTCTGCCATACACACACACACACACGCTTGCACACGCGCGCATGCATGCATGTAACTTGCTTCCCCCCTGGCCGCGCCTTGTCCAACACAGGCTATGTTGGCAGTGCGGAGTTCCTCTCCACTGTCGTGCGCATTGTGCGGAAACTCAAGGAGGTGTGTGTGTCTGTGTGTGCGTGTGTGTGTCTGTGTGTGTGTGTGTGTCTGTCTGTCTGTCTGTGTACATGCAAAGTCTATGTTGTGCTCATCCACTGACCGCCTCAGCCAGCTCACCAATTGGCTCTTCCCCACCACTACAACAACAAGGTGAACCCGGATATTGTGACCCAGTCCTCGGAGACCATGGCCAACTCTACGTCCCAGCAGGTTGTGTGTGTATCGTCGAGGCGTGTGTGTCGCTGCCCGTCGATGTCCGTGTGACGGCTTGTCTATGATAGTGATGCTTCTGTCGCTCAATCACGCATTTGCTTCCGCGTGCCGTCGCGTTTGCATGGGGTGCAGACTTGGTTCCTGTGTTTCGCACAGAGTTGATACCGCTCGCCGACATTGTCACGCCAAACCAGTTTGAGCTGGAGATGATCTTGGGTCCGTTGAACAGCGCTCTCGGCGATGTCCTGCCTGTTGTGCAACTGCAATGCGCCTCCTCCTCTCATGGACGTTCATCACCCACTGGTCTACTGTCCAATGTAGCATCTCACCCGCTCCATTGTTCACACGACGCACACCGCAACACGCCGCCCCATTTTAGAGTGCGACATCAAATCTGAGGCGATGGCGTTTGAGGCGCTGCAGCGGTGCTTGGCACTCGGTATCAAGCACGCCGTGCTGACCAGCTTCCACGGCGACACCCGCGAGCGGATTACCTTGCTCGGCTGTGCCCATCCACAGCGAAGCAAGGAACAGGCAGAAGCGGCACAGGGAAGCACTGCGGACGGTGATGGAGGTGACGGAGACGTGACGTCTGAGCTGACACGATACCGCCTCACTGTTCCTCGGTTCGATTTCTACTTCACCGGCACAGGTAGGTGTGTGTGTGTGTTTGCGTGTGTGTGCGTGTTTGCGTGTGCGTGCTTGTGTGTGTGTTTGCGTGTGTGTGTGCGTGTTTGTGTGTGCATGTGCGTGTTTGCGTGTGTGTGACTGTGTGACTGTGTGACCGTGTGACCGTGTGTGGCAGTGTTGTGTGTGTCTTGGTCGTGAGTTGTGTGACCGTCGACGGCCACATCACCATATCCGCACGCGTTATCAGGCGACCTGCTCTCTGCGCTCATCCTCGCGCGCACGTGGGAGGCGCCTGCAGACCCGATGACAGCGGTCGCAAAGGCAGCAGCATCCCTCCAGGTGTGTGTGTGTGTGTGTGTGTGTGTGTGTGTGTGTGTGTGTGCCTGCCTGCCTGTCTCTCTGTCTGTCTCTGCCTGCCTGTCTGTCTCTATGTCTGTTGCTTTGTGAGTGAGTGTGAGTGAGTGTGTGCGTGCTCACACCACGAGTCGCCTGTGTGATGTGGGGGTGTGCAGGGTGTGTGCCAACACACGTACGAGTACTGTCGCCATGTGGAAGCACCGACGGCGCGGCACAAAGAGCTGCGGCTCATCCAGAGCAAGGTCAGCTCTTTTGTGTGTGTGTGTGTGTGTGTGTGTGTCTGTGTGTGTGTCTGTGTGTGTCTGTGTGTCTGTGTCTGTGTCTGTGTCTGTGTCTCTGTCTGTGTCTCTGTCTGTGTCTCTGTCTGTCTATGCACGCGTGCTTGTGTTCGGCTTGCTCGTGTCTTACACCGCGTCATCATCCCATGCACCAGCACCAGGATCACATTGAGTCGCCCGATTTGAATCTGCTCCGCGAGTGCGAGAAGCTGTAGGCCAGTCAAAGTCCAAGCCATTCCATCCTTGAGCAGTGGCCGTGAAAGAGTGTGTCTGTGTGTCTGTGTGTCTGTGTGTCATTGTGTCTGTGTGTCATTGTCGTGTGCTGTCTCGTTGCAGTGTGCTTTCTCCCAGTCTCAAGTTTGCTGTTGCTTGTGCCAACAGTGCCAAGAGTAGGTTCAAATACACAACCTTGTAATTCCTGAAGGGAAGGGGATGTGCAAGCAACAGTCACGCGCCTTCAACAAAACAGCACAGCATAGCATATGGGCAGCAAAACAAAGGCAACACACCAACACATCTGCATATGCCTACGTGGCTTTCTGTCATCGAAGGGTAAATGCAAACAATCACAAGGGCCGCCAGCCTCCCTGTCGCTTCTCAGGCATGGTTGAGGCGATGGGCATGGATGCTAACACCCCGGTGGCTGTGACTGCTGTCGCTGTCGCTGCCACTGCTGCTGCGGTGGCGGTGGTGGCGGGAGTGGCGTTGGGCGTGGCGGTGGTGGCGTTGGGCGTGGCGGTGGTGGCGGGAGTGGCGTTGGACGTGGCGGTGGTGGCGGGAGTGGCGTTGGGCGTGGCGGGAGTGGCGGGAGTGGCGTTGGGCGTGGCGGTGGTGGCGGGAGTGGCGTTGGGCGTGGCGGGAGTGGCGTTGGGCGTGGCGGGAGTGGCGGGAGTGGCGTTGGGCGTGGCGGGAGTGGCGGGAGTGGCGTTGGGCGTGGCGGGAGTGGCGGGAGTGACGGCGATGGTGCCGACGGCGGAAATGAGTGCGAGCATCCCTGTGGCTGACATCGCTGCTGCCGTCGCTGCTGCCGTCGCTGCTGTTGTCGCTGCTGTTGTCGCTGCTGCGATCAGCTGGGGCGTGCTCGTGTAGTTGGGGCGCAGCGTCACCGGACGCATCCGACACCATGGCATATTTGTGTGTGGCCATGGTGTCCTGCCGCTCAAAGCGGTGCGCGCATATCTGACACACGTACCGCGGGGGTGCATGGCGGTACATGTGCCTCGATATACGCACTGATCTGTGAAAGCAGATCTGTGCGTGCGTGTGCGCGCGTGTGTGTGTATGTGTGTACACGTGCGTGTGTGTGCGTGTGTATGTGTATACACGTGCGTGCGTGTGCGTGTGTATGTGTGTACACGTGCGTGTGTGTGTGTGCGTGTGTGCGTGTGTGTGTGTGCGTGTGTGTGCGTGTGTGTGTGTGCGTGTGTGTGCGTGTGTGTATGTGTGTATGTATGTGTGTATGTATGCGTGTGTGCGCGCGTGTGTGTATGTATGTGTGTGAATATACATGAACGAAAGGCACAAACATAGGCTCAACCGCAAGGCTCAATGGCAGGTGACAAAAGCAGGTCGCACACCTGACACTCGCCATCCACAGAGAGTGTCTCGCCGCGGCCTTCCAGCACCGCGTAACATGCCTGGCTGGCGAGGCGCGCCACGCGGCGCTCTGTGATACCGCGGGTGTGCCTTGCGGCACACAGCGCGATCATCGCAATGATCGCGACCGCGGTATCACGGGGTCCCTAAGCAAGTGTGTGTGTGTGTGTGTGTGTGTGTGTGTGTGTGTGTGTGTGTGTGTGTGTGTGTGTGTGTGTGTGTGTGTGTGTGTGTTTGTGTGCATGTATGTGGAAAGCAGTCAGCGAGAGGGGGGTAGGCGAGAGGGACACGAGCCAGCCAGCACCACCGCCTAAGTCGAAGCACGTAAGAAGGCAGTACACATACGCACATGTATGTTGATACACACCTCAGGCGTCGCTCGGAACAGGGGTGCATGGGCGGTATCGAAGTGTCGCCCACATGCGTTGAGGCTGGATAGGGCGACGCCGCAGACACAACAGGGCAAGAGTTTGCCCTGTTGCGCTAGCCACGCCACCCTCACCAACCACCACACGTCTGGGGTGGGAAGCGTCGTCATGGCTGCCTCCGCGGTGGCGAGCGAGATGTCGCCCTGTATCGCCACCGCCACAGCCCCGCCATCGTCGTGCACCATCGCATCCCCCTCCTCACAGAAGGACACCCTCACACTACCTGCATCGGCCTCGATCACAACTCGCCTCCCCTCCACACTCACCACACGCAAGAAAGACATGGCTCAGAAACTGCATCGCTCCGTCTCTCCAACACGCGGTACTCGCTTGTGTAGCCACTCGTGCGATGGATTTTCCCGCCATCTCGGAGTCGGATGTATGCTTTCTCACCACACGTTTGCTGACGTTTGTGCAGCCCTGAATTCGCGCAGTTGCCGTGTTTCGATTGCTTGTCGTCACTCGAATGATATGGCAATCTTTCGCGCGGTTTTGTGCCGGGTCTGTTGTGTTGTTGTACTGTAGTAGCCACACGTTTGCTGACGTTTGTGCAGCCCTGAATTCGCGCGCAAGTTGCTGTGTTTCGATTGCTTGTCGCCACTCGAATGATATGGCAATCTTTCGCGCGGTTTTGTGCCGGGTCTGTTGTGTTGTTGTACTGTAGTAGCCACACGTTTGCTGACGTTTGTGCAGCCCTGAATTCGCGCGCAAGTTGCTGTGTTTCGATTGCTTGTCGCCACTCGAATGATATGGCAATCTTTCGCGCGGTTTTGTGCCGGGTCTGTTGTGTTGTTGTACTGTAGTAGCCACACGTTTGCTGACGTTTGTGCAGCCCTGAATTCGCGCGCAAGTTGCTGTGTTTCGATTGCTTGTCGCCACTCGAATGATATGGCAATCTTTCGCGCGGTTTTGTGCCAGGCCCGTTGTGTTGTGGTACTGTAGTAGCCACACGTTTGCTGACGTTTGTCTTTGTGCAGCCCTGAATCACCTGTCCTCCCGTGCAAGTCTTCCAGTCGAACACACCAACCCCTCTTCCCATTCGAATAAACCAATGCCCCCACCAGTCGCATGTAAGAAGTAGCCACACGCTTCGCATTGATTGCCATCAACTACCTGTCCCTCTGTACGTCCCATCATGCCGAGACTAGTCGGGTCTTGCCCCATCAAGTGGGAATGCAGCCAGCCCGACCGGGAGAGAGGCGAGCCTGGCTTGTTCTTGCTATTCTTGTTCTTCTTGTTCTTCTTCCTCCTCTTCTTCGGCTCCTTCTCCTTCTCTTGTTTGCGTTCTTCTACGTCTCTCACTTGCCCTCACTTGAATGCTGTCGCTGCTGTCGCTGCTATTGCTCGTTTGGTCGTGCCTTCTTGCCTGCATGGACAGAAATACTTGGACCGCTCCCTGCTCGGCCCCCTCTACTGAGCACGGAAACTCTCTTTGATTGCGTGGTGCCGCCGATCAAGCCCACGCCGCACGCCTGCGCGTCATTACTACGATGACCGCTCACACACATACACACACACACACATACACACACACTTACACACAACCTTTGTTGTGCCTTCTGCTTTTTCATGTTCTGTACCAATGCGACCACGTTACATCTCAGCAGCATGCGCGAGTGTATGCTGGCATTGAATGGGTGATTGTTTTGTCCATGCTTTGTGATGCTGTTGCCGTAAAGCACTGTGTTGCCGGCCTCAGCTGATGTGCTTCGGTTGTGCACGGCTCATTGGTTCACTTTCCCCCCAGGCCACTTTTGTTTTGCCCTCGAACCTCTGCTGTGTTTGACCCATGCACGCTGGATGATTCACGTCACACACCATCACCACCACATGCACGAATGTCACAATTAAAGCACTCAAGTGTTGGGACGTGTTACAATGTGAGCGTGTGTATGGTTGAGGTAGGAAGAAAGGGTTGACAGAGATGGAAGCACAAACACAGAAACAACAATCGCACAAGCATCAAGCAGCGGCAGCAATGAGACACCCAAATTCAAGCAACACACCGCCTCAAAACACCAGCTAGACAAGACAAACTGCCAGTGCTGCTGGCAAGACAAATGGAAATCGCACGCACATGTGTGTCTTGTGCTGCACCACGGTAGCTCGAAGGCCGTGCAAAACTGGTAGGAAGCACATCACAAGGGACAAGGACAAAGAAAGAGGGGAAGAGGAGAAGAAAAGGTAAACAGAAAAGACGGGGGAAGAGGAGGGAGGGAGGACAAACGACAGTAAACCGCTGAATGAGCCTAAGCACAGCTGTGGCTGTACATGGCCACGGCAAATCACCGTCGCATCATCACCACCACCAAGCAGCCAGCTCAAGGGTTGCAGATGGCGTCAATCTGGGCCTCAATGTCATCCAGCTGGGATGAGATGAGCAGGTCCTGATCGTCGTGCGCCTCCTCGCAGTTCTGGCGCGCCGTCTCAATGTCGACGTCGAGCTGGTCAAATGCACGCTCGTACATGTCCAGGCGCTCAGCCAGCAGCTCGCGGTACCACGACAGCATGCTGTCAATGAAGCTGTCAACCTCGTCAGCAGTGTCGTTGTAGTCGGCACACGGGGTGATGCCGCCAGCGTTCATGAAGTCGTTCCAGGCAGAGATCCAGGACGTGAGCGAGGCTGTCCACGCCTCCCACTCTGGGGTGGAGATGCAAGCACCCTCGGCGCCCTCCGACCCCTTGAGGCCGGCAACGCCCTTGATGCCGTCATCGCCAGGCGCACCAGCGCGGCCCTTGTCGCCAACAGCCGCGTCACCAGCCTGTCCCTTGTCACCGCGACGTCCCTTGGTACCGTCACGGCCGTCATCACCAGGGGCACCCGGCAAGCCAGGGGTACCAGGGCGTCCGTCTGTGCCAGTGTCGCCCATAGGGCCCATTGGACCGCGCTCGCCTTCGTCGCCATCAGCACCAAGGTGTCCGCGGAAGCCCTTGACACCCTTCTCGCCGTCACGGCCGCGCGCACCCTTCAGACCAACGTCACCTGGGGCGCCCAAGAGGCCAGCCTCGCCAGGGTCACCGCGGCCACCCTTGAGACCTTGAAGTCCATCGCGGCCTGCTGGGCCGTCCGGACCGCGTGGGCCTTGTGCACCGTCCGTGCCTGTGAAGCCTGGGTCACCAGGGGCACCATCAGGCGCGTTGCTGCCTGCGCGACCCTTGATGCCTCGTGGGCCGGGGGCACCGTCAGCACCATCAGCACCGGGCTCACCATCTGTGCCTGGGGTACCTGCGAAGCCCTTGTCTCCACGAGCACCTGGGGTTCCGTCCTCACCATCCGCACCGTCAGCACCGTCCTCACCAGGCTCTCCGGGAAGGCCAGGCTCGCCAACGTCGCCATCAAGCCCGCTCTCGCCTTGGCGTCCTGCAGGCCCCGCGGTGCCTCGCAATCCCTTTGGCCCAGCAGGGCCGGGGGCACCATCGCTGCCAGGAAGGCCGTCGTCGCCTGGCTCGCCAACGAGTCCAGTGAAGCCGCGCTGACCCTTGAGACCAGGGGAACCGTTGGAACCATCAACGCCTGGGGTCCCATCCGCGCCGTCAGGGCCAATGTCACCGCGCTCACCACGGGGACCTGGCGTACCATCGTCACCGCGATCGCCAGCAACACCCTTGACACCCTTTGCGCCGTCGGGCCCTGGAGCACCATCAGCACCTGGGTTTCCATCCGTGCCTGGGTTTCCGTCGATCCCGTCGATGCCACGCTCGCCCTTCTCGCCACGGGGCCCGTTGATACCTGGGTCACCAACAGCACCATCCGTGCCGTCAAAGCCTGGGGTACCTGGGATACCGTCCTCGCCTTGGCGTCCCTTCAAGCCTTCAGGGCCTGTGAGGCCCTTGTCGCCGTTCGCGCCGTTTGCACCGTCGCTTCCGTCGCTGCCTGCGGGGCCAGTGTCGCCACGACGACCCTTGCGCCCATCCAGACCGTCCTCACCAGGGCGACCACGGGGGCCAGGGGCACCTGGGGTACCAGCAATGCCCTTCTCACCCTTCGCACCGTCCGTACCAGGGCGACCGCGAGGACCTTCCAAGCCAACCTCACTGTATACATAGGTGGATGTGTGCGCGTGGTGGTGGTGGGTTGAGAAAAGGGGGGGGGGGGGAGACGATCAAGCATCACAAAGCGAGTCCAGACAACGTGTGTGAGTTCGTGCCAGTGCGTGCGTGTGTGCGTGATCGCATTGGCAATCGAGGCAGGAAGGCTGAAGGGCAAGACAATGAACAACAACAACAACAACACCCACAAGCAACAACAACACCCACAAGCAACAACAACTTAAACACCAACAAGCAGCAGCAACAATTGCACTTGTTCGGCTTACCCGTCGCGGCCCTTGACGCCTTGGGGTCCAGCAGGGCCTGTGTCGCCAGTATCGCCGTTTGCACCGTTGCTGGCGTCGCGGCCAGGGGTTCCGTCCGTCCCGTCAAAGCCGGGGGCACCAACAGGACCAGTGTCGCCACGCTCACCGCGCTGTCCCTTGGCACCGTCAGTCCCGTCAGTACCAGGGGTACCAGGAATGCCTATCAGTAGCAGAATGCAAGCAAGGGAGGGGGTACGTGAATGAGTGTCGTCGCAGTTTTGTTACGCACAAGCACGTTGGAGACAAAACACACATACACACACACACGATATTCCACACATTGTCACACGAACAAACAAACAACATACGTACGTCAATGCACATAAAACCAACCACCCAAACAAACAAACAAACAAACAAACAACATGCACACACACAAAGAAACATACAAACGTTCAAATTCACAACAAGCAACACCTTGTTACTGAGCCAGGCAACGTGTTGTGAACGAGCAGTGCACCACATGCTATGTAAACGTCAAAACACAATTTCTTGACATGGATACAACAAAGAGAACAACGCACCGTCGGGGCCTGCAGGTCCGCGAGGTCCATCTGTGCCTGTGAGGCCAGAGAAGCCAGGGTCACCGCGAGTACCCTGCGGGCCAGTGTCACCAACAGGCCCTGGGGCACCATCGCTACCTGGGGTACCGTTCACGCCATCATCGCCGCGCAGACCCTTGGGCCCGTCAACGCCGTCTGAGCCTGGGGTTCCGCTCGGTCCTGGAATACCAGAGGGGCCAGGATCACCAACAGCACCATCTGCACCGTCTGTACCATCAAGGCCTGGGTCACCCTTAGGACCAGAATAACCCTTTGGCCCGAGCACACCCTTATCACCAGCAACACCAGTGAGACCCTTCACTCCTTCGGCACCATCAAAGCCAGGCTCGCCAGTGTCACCCTTTGCACCAGTCGACCCATCAGGGCCGCGAGGCCCGTCTGTTCCAGTCAAACCAGGGACACCAGGAAGCCCATCTTCGCCCTGGATTCCCTTCGTGCCTCGCGCACCGTCAGCACCGTCAGTCCCTGGGATGCCGTCGTTTCCAGCAGGGCCAGCAGGGCCACGAGCACCGTTGGTACCATCAAAGCCATCGTCGCCAGGAGCACCAATCAGGCCATCCTCACCAGCACGGCCTTGTGGACCGCGCTCGCCCTTCTCACCGTCCTCACCAGGGACACCATCGCTGCCAGGTGCACCGCGGAAGCCAGCATCACCTGGCTGTCCCTTGAGCCCAGACTCACCCTGAGCACCAGGGGCACCAGGAGCACCGTCGGTGCCGTCCAAACCGTCAACGCCGCGCTGGCCCTTGAAGCCCTTGTCACCAGACTCGCCGCTGGGGCCGGGAAGGCCTGTCTCACCAGCGTCACCGCGCTGGCCCTTGTCACCAGGGGTCCCATCTGTACCTGGGGTACCGTCAGCGCCGCGGAAACCCTTTGGTCCGCGTGCACCTGCATCACCAGGGTCGCCAGGGCCACCATCCACGCCAGGGGTCCCGTTGAGGCCGTCTTCGCCAGGGCGCCCATCAGCGCCGCTGTCACCAGGTGCACCACGTGGCCCTGGGCTGCCATCAATGCCATCAGCACCGTCAGCGCCGCGGAAGCCCTTGTCACCCTGCATGCCACGGCGACCATCTGTGCCGTCAAAGCCGGGCTCGCCACGCAGGCCGTCCTCACCAGTGCGGCCCTTGATACCCTTGTCGCCTGGGATGCCGCTGTCGCCGCGATCGCCTGTTGCGCCGTTGTCACCGCGGTTGCCGGTCTCACCCTTGATGCCCTTGACACCATCCGTACCGTCCAGACCAGGCAGACCGGGCTCGCCAGCCTCACCCTTGATGCCTGGGGCGCCTGTCTGGCCCTTGACACCCTTGACGCCCTTGTCGCCCATGCGGTTGACAGAGACGTAGTCGAGAATCTCGCTGCGGAGCGCGTCGTAGCGGGCAACGTAGCTGTCGCGGTCGGCCTGCACGCGGTCGTTGAGCGCCTGCGAGTAGGCGTCAATCAGGGCCAGCTTGGAGTCGCGCGTGGATGTGATGTAGTTGGAAACGTCCGTGAAGTTCTCCGAGACAATCATGCGCACCGCAGAGAGCTTGGCATTGAGCTCAGCCGTGCGGTCAGCGGTCCCGTTGCACACCTCAGCCACGGCCTGGCGGTAGTCGTCAAACGTCTGCAGCCACGCGTTCCAGCTGTCGAGAAGACGGGTTTGCTCAGCGCGGTCAACACAGTCGCCGGCGCTGCCGCGGTCACCCTGCATACCCTTGTCACCTTGCATGCCTTTGTAACCGAGTGTGCCCTTGTAGCCCTTGTCGCCAGAGGGGCCGACTGTGCGGCTTCCCTTGTAGCCCTTGTCACCTTGAGCACCATCGTCGGCGTCGCGACCACGAGGACCATCCGAGCCGTCCAGCCCGTTGAAGCCTGGGCGACCGTTCACACCCTATTGACGAGGAAAAACATTAAATGACAGGGGGTGAGCAGATGGGAGTGGGTTGGTGTGCAAGTACGCAGAAAGAAGGGGAGGGAGGAAGGAAAAGGACACGAATGATCGATACTGTCGCAGAAAAACAGCAAAAGCCACTCGACGAGCAATCATGACAACCATAATAGTGATGATGAACAAGAAAGGCGTCATCATCAACAACAACAACAACAACAACAACAACAACAACAACAAAAGTGGAGCACTGCAATGTGTTTCGAGGCGTGTTTTTGACGTACCAGAGTACCGGGGGTGCCGCGAGGACCAGTGGGGCCCTTCTCGCCCTTGTAACCCTTCTCACCAGAGTCACCGTTTGGCCCGCCGATACCAGGATCACCACGCTCGCCAATGGCACCCTTGATGCCTGTGCGTCCGCGGAAGCCCTTGTAACCCTTGTCGCCAGTAGCACCACGAGGGCCTGGAATACCATCGCGGCCAGGCAGACCTGAGTCACCACGACGACCCTTGTTTCCTGGGGTGCCATCAGGCCCTGGGTTACCTGGCCGTCCATCGAGACCAGCCTCACCCTTGAAGCCCTCGGGACCACGAGGCCCGTCAGCGCCACGGCGGCCGGGGACACCATCTGTACCGTCGAAGCCGTCGTCACCAGGCAGGCCCTTGAGGCCAGGCTCACCAGGGGTACCGTCTTGTCCAGGGGTACCATCAACGCCGTCATAGCCAGAGCAGAGCTGCTGCGTCAGATCGCGGTCGCGAAGAGCGTCGAAGTCGGTCTCAATGAAGGCGTTGTCGTTGGAGGTGGCAATGGTTTGCAGCTCAGCAAGGTTGGATGCGGGACCAACGCCAATGGCAAACACCTCGTCAACCTCAGCGTGGAGGCGGTCTGAGGCCGCAGTCACAAACGACGAATCCTCCTGCGAAGCACCATCGGTGACCACAATCACCACGCGGCGCGCGCCCGGGTTGCTGTTGTCGTTGAGGATGTTGGCAATGGCAAAGTCGAGGGCCGCACCCGTGGCTGTGCCGCAAGACACGGTGTTGACTGCAGAGTCGAGGGCGTTCAGGGCGTCCGTCGTGACACCGGTGAAGGTGGTCAGGAGCGTCTGCGTGGCGCAGAATGTCATGGCAGCAACCCGTGAGCCCGTGCCCTCGAGATCAATCTGGGTCTGCACAATGTCGCGCAGGAAGGCAATGGACTGTTGGAAGTCCTCCTCGGAAATGGAGCCAGAGTTGTCCTGAATGAGAACAAGGTCTGTGGAGCCCATGCACGTCTGGTGCCCGTCAGGACCGCGTGGACCCTGGGGACCAGTGTTTCCTGCAGGGCCGCGCTCACCCTTGGGGCCAGCTGGGCCGACGTCGCCAGGGAGGCCGTCCTCGCCTTGCTGACCCTTGAAGTAGACAGTGTTATCGTCGCGACCAGCAGGGCCCTGAGGACCTGGAGCGCCGACATCACCAGGGTCGCCACGAGGCCCAGGGGTTCCGTCGCGGCCGTCAATGCCGTCCGTACCATCAAAGCCAGCAAAGCCCTTGATACCGCGAAGGCCGTCCTCGCCAGGGGTGCCCGAAGCACCACGATCACCGCGATCGCCTTGGGATCCGCGTGCACCGTCAGGGCCAGGGGCACCGTTAGCGCCGTTACGGCCGTCAATGCCATCTGTACCATCAAAGCCAGGGTCGCCGCGAAGGCCCTTCAAGCCTTGCTCACCGGGTGCTCCCCTGGGGCCATCAGAGCCGGGCACACCATCAGAACCGTTTGCACCTAAGATGTGATGCCATATGACGTAATGTGTGTGATGATGTGTTTGTTGATGAGTGGGGTGAGTAAGTGAGCGAGCAATAAACACGTGAGTGCAGTTGTTGTTGTTGTTGTTGTTGTGCATCATGATGATCATGTGCGCGTTGGCTGTCGCAAGCGCCTACGCGCACATCATCATCACATCATCACAACACAACAAACGCACGCTGTTCACAGCTGTGCAGACATGTAGACGCAAACATAACACGTAAATTGTGCGGTTGTTTGCACGCGTGAGCTGAGGGTTACACACCTGGGTTGCCAGTGTCGCCTGGGGCACCGCGAGGACCTTGATCGCCAGCAGGACCAACAAGACCATCCTCACCATCGCGACCAGGGGTACCTGGAGTACCCTGGAAGCCCTTGTCACCAGGAGCACCATCAATACCGTCGTTGCCAGCAAAGCCCTTTGGACCACGAGGACCCGGGGTGCCAGCATCGCCACGCTCACCCTTGGCACCGTCCACACCGTCATAGCCGACGCAGTCGAGGACAGAGCCGATAATCTCGTCGATAAAGTCGCCGAGGTCGACAAAGGCAATGTTGTTGAAGACGCGGGTGGGGTCGCCGGCAATTTGCAGCAGCTCAGTCTCGTCAGCGTTGTCGCCAATGCCAATGGCGGTGATGGACACGCCAATGCTGTTGAGGTCGGACACGGATGGGTCAATGTTCTGCTGATCGCCATCTGAGGTGGCACCGTCAGTCAGGAGCACAAGCACGCGCGCGGCGTCGGGGCGGGCGTTTGCACCAATGTCATCTGCGGCAAGGCCAAGCGCCGTGCCCGTAGCTGTAGCGCCGCCAGACTGCACAACGTTGGAGATGGTGTTCTGCGCGGTTGTCTCGTCAGCCGTGTATGGGACGAGGACCTGCGTGTAAGTGGTGGAGTACTCGGCAATGCTGATGCGCACGTCGTTGCCGGGGAAGGCAAAGAGGGCGTCCGTCAGGTCGCTGAGGAAGGTGCGCTCGCGCTCAAAGTCCGAGGACACAATGGAGCCGGAGCCGTCAATGAGGTAGAACACGTCAATAGCACGGCCAACGCACTCTGCGCCGCCAGAAGGACCCTGAGGACCGGCCGGACCAACGTCGCCTTGCTCGCCCTTGAGGCCAGCGGGGCCGCGCTGGCCCTTGCGTCCGGGCAAGCCGTCTTCACCGTCGCGGCCGGGAGCACCATCGGCACCATCCCTACCAGCAGGACCTTGAGGTCCGCTGGGACCGCGAACGCCCTTGTCGCCAGTGACGCCTGGTGTCCCGTCAGCTCCTGGTGTCCCGTCAGAACCTGGCGTGCCGCTGGGACCTCGCTGACCCTTGCGCCCGTCCAGACCATCTTCACCAGGGGAGCCAGTCTCACCGCGGGAACCACGTGCACCAGTGGCACCACGAGGGCCAGGGCGGCCGTCAACACCGTCTGTGCCGTCAAACCCTGGGTCGCCCTTGAGGCCTTGCTCGCCATCGCGTCCGGGTGTACCGTTCAAACCGTCCTCACCAGCGCGGCCAGCAGGACCCTGAGGACCACGAGCTCCGTCCTATTAATGGTTTGTATATGCATGTGCGTTCGTGTGTGTGTGTGTGTGTGTGTGTGTGTGTGTGTGTTCGTGTGTTCGTGTGTGTGTGTGTGCGTGTGTGTGTGTGTGGTTGGTTACAGGGTGAGGTTGGACGTGGAAGAAGAAACGTGAGCGCAATAGACTTTTGCGTGTGCATGCTAGTATCCACACAAACAGAAAAAGAGCAACCACCAAACACATGCAATCACAACCAAGCAAGCAGCAGTGCTATCACATCGTGGTGACGTTTGGTAAACAAACAAACACAGTCAAACACGCAACACAACACAACAAAAACAGTCACAAGTGACAACGCAAAGCAAAGCAAGCAAGCAGACTGCCAAAAAACGCACCGTGCCAGGAACACCGGGGTCACCAGTGCGGCCGCGAGCGCCCTTGTCGGGCGAATCAGCGCAGAAGATGCCTTGGAGGAAGGCGCGGACAAACTCTTGCACGAGGTCGCCGAACTGCTCGACTTGCTCGACGCGGTCTGCAGAGCCAGCAATGGCCAGGAGCTCGTCGGGGTCGGTGCCGTCGCCAATGCCGAGGGCAAGGACAGTGACGCCAAGCTCGCGCAGGCGGAGGGCCTGCTCTGCAACAAACGCGGGCTCCTCCTGCGACTGACCGTCTGTGATGACGACGGCAATGGCGGGGACGGCGAGGTTGCGGTAGTTGGGGTCGGAGCTGCTGAAGATGTCGCGGCGCGCGAGCTCGAGCGCAGCACCGGTAGCAGTACCGCGCTGGATGTGGCGCAGGTTGCGGATGGTGTCGACAATGGTGGGCTTGTCATAGCTGAACTGGAGGGAGACCTCCTGCACGTCCGAGAAAATCTCGACGGCAATGCGCGACTCAGACTCGGAGATGACAAGCTCGTCAACGACGTTCTCGGCAAACTGCTTCAGCAGGCTGTAGTCCTCGGGGAGGATGGAACCAGACGAGTCGAGAATGAAGGCGATATCGGATGCGCCGTACACGCACTCGCCGCCGGCCGGACCAGGCAGACCCATGGGGCTGCCATTAAGCAATTACACATGTTTCAATGTTGATGATGGTGGTGGATGTGCAGCGTTTGTGCGAGGTGTGTGTGCAGGTTTCGTGTGAGTTGTGGATGTTTCGTGTGAGTGAGGGAGCGAGTTGGGTCGAGGACAAAACACGCGATGCTGACTGAACAACGAGTGCACGTCGAGCAAGGAAAGCGAGCGCAAGGACACTCTCAAGGACGTGGAGACACAACCACACCCGCGCATGCACAAAGTAGCCAAGATGGCGACAAACAAGAGAAGCAAACGTACCCGACGTTACCCTTGAGGCCAGTTGGGCCAGGGTTGCCAGGAGCACCGCGGTCACCCTGCAGACCTCCTTCACCGTCACGGCCACGCTGGCCCTTGCGACCATCGAGGCCATCTTCACCAGGGGTACCAGAGTTACCCTACATGTTGATTGGTTGATCGTGTGAGAAACAAAGATGTAGCGTTGTCAGGAAAAGGTCGGCCGTTATGAAACGACGCGCAGAAGAGGAAAACAGTGGTACGCACGCACGCACGCACGTGTGCACATGCACGTGGACATACATGCACGCACGCAATTGCACATCTACATCTACACACACGCACACAGACACATGCTACGCACCTGTTGACCCTTGTAGCCTTTGGGGCCATCGGCGCCGTCAGCACCGTCAGCACCGTTCACACCGTCGGGGCCGCGTGGGCCGGGCTGGCCCTTGCTACCAGGGGTACCAGGGGTACCGGAGGGACCACGGGAACCCCGAGCACCAGGCTCACCAGGGAGACCCTACACCATGTAGAAAACCCGGGGGGGAGGGCACGGGTGGGTGAGGAAAAACGGCACACACAAGTGCGGCAAAAACCCAAAACAAAAAAATGAGGACACCACATACGAACGTGCTGCGTGCATGTCACAGACCACAAAGACAGCACCAACATACCGGGTCACCACGAGGGCCATCAGTCCCATCAAAGCCGTCAGTGCCTGCAATGCCTTGCAGACCATCCTCGCCCTGGTTACCCTTCATGCCTGTGGTGTGTTGGGAGCGCGACAAAGGGTGTGAGGAGAGGACAGAAAGTCCAACGATGAGTAAGAGAGTAAGCAGTCGATCGGTCGTTAGAGACGTAGATCAAGCAAGAGATTATGCATTGCTATTGGGAGATGATCTGATGATAGTTGGGGACGCAGCACTGTAGCGGGTTTGCAAATAACACAAGAAGCGTGCGCAGACACAGACACAACAAGAGGACCTGCAATCAAACAAGCAAACGAGCCCTCCCATCCAAGCATCCAAACGAGCAGCAACGAGAGGATGCCTGGATGCAGCGCACTAGCGCAAGACTTCAAAAAAGACTTGCCTGGGAGACCGACGGGGCCACGAGGACCGCGTGGGCCGTTGACACCGTCCGTGCCGTCAAAGCCTGGGTCACCAGCGTCGCCGTTGAGGCCGTCCTCGCCGCGCGCGCCCTGAGCACCGGTTGCGCCGCGGAAACCCTTGTCACCGCGATCGCCGCGGACGCCATCTGTTCCATCGAAGCCATCGGTACCTGGGTCACCCACAGCGCCTGGGAGCCCGTCTTCACCCCTGGGGCCTTGCGGGCCGGGGTTACCATCGACTCCATCGACGCCAGGGGCACCATCAGTACCCGGCGTTCCATCTGGACCAGGAGCACCACGTTGACCTTTCCGTCCGTTGGTTCCGTCGTTGCCTGTTTCGGTTGTGCATTGTTGTTGTCGTTGTTGTTGGTGGTGGTGGTGGTGTTGTTGGTGGTGGTGGTGTTGTTGTTGTACAGAAGTGAGGGAGCGAGGTGTTGTGCGTGTGAGTAAATATGATGTGCGTAAAGGACATCAGGGAAATCAAGACGATGGAAGCACACAACAAGCCAAAAAAAAAACCACACACACACACAAGCACGCATGCTAGAGCTGTACGTACCAGGGGTACCGTTGTCGCCGCTGGCACCCTGCGGGCCGCGTTGACCCTTGCGTCCGGGAACACCATCGACACCAGGATCACCCTGGCGACCAGTGTCACCGCGCTCGCCCTTGTCACCATCGCGACCAGGGAAGCCACGGGGGCCGGGCAGACCGTCCTCGCCTGCATGCATGCATGCATGCATACATGGATGGGAGACAGATGTGGGTTTGGGTGTGTGTGTGTGTGTGTGTGTGTGTTGGTGTGAGACAAAAGCGAAAGCGTTGATGATAGTGCGTGCATGTTCAGGTGTAAGTCGGTGACAACGTGCCATTTGTTCTACAAGGAGCACTAACAATAATAATACAGCAAACCAACCAAGGGCAACACAGCATCAAATCAAGAAGGGGGGGGGGGCGCACCAGAGGGGCCGCGGACGCCCTTCTCGCCCTTGTCGCCGTTGGTGCCATCAAAGCCCGGGGTTCCCTGACGACCCTTGTCACCCTTTGGACCCTGGATGCCGTTGTCACCCATGTCACCTGGGTCACCACGCTGTCCCTTGAGTGGGGCCTTGAGGTTCAGGTTACGGTCAGCCTCAGCTGCGACAGAAAGGAGAGAGAGAGAGATGGAAAGGTGAAGCGAGGAGGAGAAAGGGTGAGGAGGATGGGTGAGTTCCGGCAGAAGAGTGAAAAGGTTAGGTTCGTGGGTGTGCGGGTGACAAAAGTTGTGAAAGATGACAGTGCAGCAACGCAACAACAATACAACGAGTCGGATGGGGATGTCTCACAGAAAACACAACGCAGCGCATCCACGCATCCGCACAAGCCACACAAGCCACACACGCACACACACACATACATACATACATACATTCATTCATACATACATACATACATACATACATACATAACATACATACATACATACACACACGCACAAGCCCTGATATCAGACAACACCAATAAGCATCCATGTCGCAAAACGTACTTCGGGGGCCGCAGTCGGAGCAATCGGTACCAAATTCACAGAGGTTCTGGGCGTTTGCGAGAAAGTTACCGGCGCCCATAATGGGCTGCTCGCCATCCTCGCAGATGCCGTTGTTGGATGTGCGACAGGTGTCGGTACAGATGGTGGCCTGACCAGACACTGACGCCACAAGCGCCACGAGCGTGACGGTCAACACAGTCGTCACACGCATCTTGCTATGCTGCTGCTGTTGTCGATGAGTCTCGGCAACGAGCACGATGCGATCAGGAAGGTTGTATCTGTGTGTGGTTGGTTTGGAGGTGTGTGGGGGGGGGGGAGAGATGGACAGTCGTTGTCTGCTTGTGAGACAAACGAACAGTTGAGAGAAATGAACAGAGGCACACACGCACACACACGCACACGCACCCAGAGACGCAGACTCTTGGCAGCGCAAAAAGGCAGGCAGGCACACACATGCGCACACATGCGCACGCGCAGCAGCAGCACCTTCACTGCCACTCACAACGGTCAGTTTTTTTGCGTCAATGTTTGAGTGGCATTCGCACCCCCCTCTCTGCGCTTTTGCGTTGCTGCTTTTGCTTCTTGCTTGCTTCGCCCCTTTGCGACACAAACGCACCCCACCCCACCTCTTTCAGTGACAGTCCACAACAACCAATCAAACCGCTGCAAAACAATGCATGTTTCGCTGCGCGCAACGGAATGCCAAACAGGAGAAGCAGAAGCAAAGCAGTGAGCGAGTTGCTGGATGTGATGCGGATGTGCGGCCGTTGCGCTGCTGGTCAGTCCGTTGGCCCCGTCGCCACGCCACAACCGTGGAAGCTAAGCACACACAAACGCACTGAGGAGGGAGGGCCGTTTCGTTGCTCGGTGATGGCCTCGATCCACCGTCGCGCGTTTTGCAGCAACACAACCGTCACCGGCAAGGAAAACATTTGGATATTCTTCGCAAATCAGCAGCATCTCAACTGCCACCGTTTCTCAGAAGCGGGCGTTCTCAACTGATTGCGCAGCTGTGGTTGCCTGCATGCACGAGGGTTGAGAAGCGAAACCTGACCAACGCCAACTGGGTTGTTGCATTCATGCAAAAACCGCTGAATCAGCCAAAATGAATGATTGCGTGCTCATTTAATGTGGCATCTGAATGCTGCCGGGCAATTTGAACTCTTCCTGGGCGCGGTTGGCAACCATCTCCGCAATGGCCAAGCTGGACGTGGCTGCAGGCGACGGCGCATTGCGTACATGAATCACCCTCCCTTTGGCTGTGTGTGTGTGTGTGCATGTGTGTGCATGCATTTGTGTGCATGTGTGTGTGTGTGTGTGTGTGTGTGTGAGAGAGAGAGAAAGGAGGAGCAACAGAGTCACACATGTGACACAGGCACACAAATCGTTGTCCCAACTCGCGCACGCACACGCTGTCTCTATCTCTCTCTCTCTCACTCCACTCACTCACCTGTCGCTGTTCCAGAATCGAAGACAAAGTCCTTCACAAGGTTGCCATCTTCATCAAGCGCCTGCGGGTGTGGGTGTTCAAGCAATGGTGCCATGAAAACATGCAGGGTTGTCGCATCAGCATGCGTGAAACAAGTAAAGCAAACAGGCACAATCGCACACGGACACAATCAAAGGAGACAAAAGTGCGAGTGCAAACCATGTTTCATTGAACCTAGCAAGAGCAAATTCGGCACACACACACACATATGCACACACAAATGCACACACAAACACAAACACACACAAACACACACATGCACACAAACACACACAAACACACACAAACACACACACACATGCGCACACAAACACACACGCACTATAGCACGAACGCCGGCCGGGCCTGGCTCCACATCGTCCAGCGTCAACTCGGGGATGTACCGCTGCAACTGTTTCACCTACCAACAACACGCCACGACACGCCACGACAGGTTAGCATGGGCAGCAGCACAATCACTGCACCCACTTCAAGAAGGGAGCAACGCCAGGTCCAGCCGAAACCCTGCGGCGCAAACATTCTCCGAGACATGCATGTGCACCTGTGCTGCAGTGCGAATGGAGCGGTAGAGCTCACGAAGACCAAAGTCGGCGTTGGCCAGCGCAAGTCGCAGATACCCAATGTATGACACTGCATCCCACAGCTCGCCCCTGCACAGCCGTGGTCGTGCCGTCGCACAACAGCAATCAACCAAAGAGACGGACCGAGTGTGTGTGAGTGTGTGAGTGTGTGAGTGTGCGTATGTGTGTGAGTGTGCGAGTGAGTGAGTGAGCAAAAAAAAAGTACGTGCGCGCACAGGACAAACGCACGTGCAACAGGAAAAACCGTCGTACACATGTGCGTACTCACACGCGCGCGCACAGTCTCGCACAGTTATGCATCACACACACACACACAGAGTCGCACACAAACACACACACAGCGCACACAAGCACACACACACACACAGAGTCGCACACAAACACACACACAGCGCACACAAGCACACACACATGCGACTGCACCAGTTTATGGTGGAGTAGGAGTATCCTTCGCGAGCAAACGCGGGCACAGCGTTGGGGCCAAGCCAAAGACTGCCGTCGATGCGGGGCGTGAAATGCACCCCAAGAAATGGTACACGCGGGTCTGGTACGGGATAAATATTCCCTTTCACAAGATGCCTCTTCTCCTACCGGGCGACATTGCGTGTTGGTTGAGACGTGAGTGGCGTGGGGGGGGGGGAGGAAGCGGCGGCAAGAAGGGGCAGGAAAAGCGTGAGGAGGAGAGGGAGTGCTTGCTGTGTGTAAACACGCGAGCAACGATTTGGCACGTGATGCGGTGCATATGTACCGGTTTCAGGACAAGGTATTCCCCACGAACGCCAATCATCTTCGGAGTCTCCGCGCACCCCGTCATCACAGCAATCCTGTTCGCCAAGCGCAAACCATTCCCAACACACACACACACACACACACACACACATGCACATGCACATGCACAAGCGGTTTAGAGAGGTTGGGATATGGGAAGATAGGCACCAAATGAGAGAGTAATAACACAGATGCAAGTGCTCAGCACGTCACGCGTGCACACGCACACGCACACACACATACACACACATACACACACACACACGCACACACATGCACGCACGCTTGCCCACTAACTTGCCCACTCACTTGCCCACTAACTTGCCCACTCACTTGTCTGAGTAAGCACCAACACACGACACAATGTGCGCGCAGATAAAACCGTTGCCGTGGTCCTGCGTGTGCACGCGGACGCCATTGCCAAAGTCTGCAGCTTCCCCTGCCGGACCGGTCAGATCGACGACTTTACACGACGTCAATATCGTTCCACCAAGACCCTCAAACTCCTGCGCCATGGTCCTCGCCACCTGGCATTTAGGAATGCGCGAATGTGTGTGTGTGTGTGTGTGTGTGTGTGCGTGTGTGTGTGTGTGTGTGTATGTGTGTGTATGTGTGTGCGTGTGTGTGCGTGTGTGTGTGTGTGTGTGTGCGTGTGCGTGTGTGTATGTGTGTGTGCGTGTGTGCGTGTGTGTGCGTGTGTGTGTCTGTGTTTGGAGGCGGTACGAGCGCCACCAATAACCATGACGGCGTGCACATGCGGCCACCTCGCGGTCGCACCCAGCTACGCACACACAGCGCCCCCCTCTCTACACCAACACATCCACACCTGCGCGTAGTCAACGATGCCGGTCGAGGGGCAGTAGACGGCAGCCACGCCCTTGCAATGGGGTTCAAAGTGGCGAATGTCGCCTTGCTCAATCCACTGTAGTCCCGGGACCTTGTTCTGTTTCCCGTTTTCAAAGATGCCCTCAAGCCTTGGCACTTCCTCTTCTTCAACAGCAACGATGAGCTTGCCGCAGCGCTTGGTCGGAATGCCGTGCTCCTCGCAGTAGTTGTACATGAGTGCGTTGCCTTTTGTGCACAGCAGTGCCCGCAGTGAGCCTGGCTTGTAGTACACCCCACTGTGGACAACGCCGCTGTTGTGGCCCGTCTGCTGCTCCGCAACTTGACTTCCCTGCGGAGTCAAAGGCGAGCAGGAACGTTGAGACAGACAGACAGAGACAGACAGACAGAGACGGACAGAGACAGACAGACAGAGACGGACAGAGACAGACAGACAGAGACGGACAGAGACAGACAGACAGAGACGGACAGAGAGAGACAGACAGACAGACAGACAGACAGACAGACAGACAGACAGAGAGGAGACCCCACACACATACACACACGCCCGCACATACACAAGACACACATACACACACACGCACGCACAAACACAAGACACACAGGCACGCACGCACACACGCGCATGCACATACACACGCACGCACATACACAAGACACACAGGCACACACACAGCACACCTTTTCAAAGACGACAATGCGGAGGTGAGGGTGTCGCAGCTGCAGCTCACGAGCTGTGGCAAGGCCAACGATGCCACCGCCAATGACACCGACATCAAAGGTCTTGCCATACTCCACGGGATCCAAATGGCCACTGTCACGCCCGCCTTGGCCCAGCTCTTTGTTTCCCAACCCTCCCTGTGCTCGAGTCACAAGCACTCCGCCCACGGCAGTGCCTGCGGTAGCAAGGGCCACTGCCAGTCGCCGCAGCGTCGCCATCTCCCCACAACCAAGCTGCTAGTGCGCAGCAGTGCACACACACACAGCAAGCACAACCAGCACAAGGTCAGGCAACCAGGCAGGACTGTCTTCCTCTTCTCCTTGCCTTGCCTCGCCTTGCTTTGCCTGCATTCGTTTTTTCGCCCGCTTTTTTGTTGCCTTTTGTTTGTGTGAACTGGATTGGTGCGAGCGACAATGGCTGACGGAGATGAGGATGCAGGCTGGGGCTTTGTGGTGGCTCACCACGACTTCCCAGCGCAGGAAAAGGGGGATCTCAAGCTCACTCAAGGTGCGATGGCGCAAGACCAACACCTTGAGCTTGGCGTCGTAGCAACACAATCATGACGACCACGCAGGCACGCACAAGCAGCCACAGTGACGTCAAATCAAAACACGAAACAACGTCGTGGTGTCTCACTCACGCCCACACACACACACACACATCCACAAACACATCCACAAACACATCCACAAACACACACATCCACACACACACACACACACACACACACACACACACACACATCCACACGCACATATACACACATATACAGGAGATGTTGTGCGTGTGCTCCAAGCCACCAATGACGAATGGCTGGAAGGTGTGCTCGGAGACAACCAAGGCATATTCCCGCTCAACTTTGTGAACCGCACCGATCCACCCAACAACGTGCGTGCGCCTGCAATATGCTTGCGGCTTGCGTTGATGCCATGTCATGTCACACCTGCTCGTCACAAACCGACATGCTCATTGTGTCTGCGTGCTTGTTCTAATGTGTGTGTGTGTGTGTGTGTGTGTGTGTGTGTTTCATGTGTGTGTGTGTGTGTTTCATGTGTTGTCGCGTGTTTGCTTGCTCAAACGTGTGTGTGTGCGTGTGTGTGTGTGCCTACCCGTCTATCTGTGTGTGTGTGTGTGTGTGTGTGTGTGTGTGTGTGTGTGTGTGTGTGTGTGTGTGTGTGTGTGTGTGTGTGTGTGTGTGTGTGTGTGTGTGTGTGCCTACCCGTCTATCTGTGTGTGTGTGTGTGTGTGTTGCTGTGGCTGATCAGGGCCGGGCAGAGGCAACTGAATCCCACACGGCAGCTGCAGCCAGCTCAGACCTCTCCTTCAGAGCAGGCGATACAATCGACCTCCTACAACGGCCAAGCGCCACACATTATCGTGGCAGACTCCATAGCAAGGTGTGGCACATATGCGAGACAATGAAGCCGATGACCTCACATAGCACCTCGGAGTTCGTCCCCACATTTTTTTTGGGGGGGGGGGCGTGCTGCATGCACTCCACTTTGTTTCACGGCCGCACGTGTTCTCGCACCCTCTGCTCGCCGTGTTCTCACACGCACATGTACGCAGGAGGGGCTGGTTCCCACAAGCAAGATTCGCGTGACAACTGCACTCGTCCCGTACGCCATTGCATCCTTCGATGTGAGCTGACAATTGTGATTTGCCTTCACGAGAAGTGTCTGCAACGAGCAGCCGTCAACATGCTGTCACCGTGTACGCTGGCTTACACACTCACACACACACACACACACACACACACACACACACTCTCTCTCTCTCTCTCTCTCTCTCTCTCTCTCTCTCTCTCTCTCTCTCTCTCACACACACACACACACACTCACACACTCGCTCGCACACACACACCCACACTCTCTCTCTCACTCACGCACTCACAATGTGCAGTTCGACGAGGGGCAGGCGGGGGACTTGGAGCTGCGCATTGGTGACAATATTGTGCTGCTCAAGCAAGTCAATGATGAATGGCTGCAAGGCTACTCGCGCCGCACACACAAGAAAGGGATGTTCCCTGCCGCCTTCGTGGACGTGAAGGTCACTCTCGATGAAGGTAAGGAGTCCTCGGAGATGGTTTGTCGCCATCGCGCAGTGCTGTCCCGCTGGACATGTTTCGTACCCCGTGCGCGACACACACACACACACACACACATACATACATACACACACACACAGGCACACACACAGACAGAGGCACACAAACTCACAAAAACTCATACACACAGGCACACAAACTCACGCAAACTCACACACAGGCACACAAACTCACGCAAACTCACACAAACACACATATACACACGCTCCCTCACACGACCAACCACATACTTCGATGGATTGGCAGCCTCTGTGATGCATGTAAAGACGGCACCGCCGCCCGCGCGCAAAGCGTCGCTCGGCAAGCACCCTGCTCCATCCAAACCCCCGCCACCTGCCACGACGCCACCGGCAAGGTCGTTGCCGCCGCCAAGAAAGAGCCCAAAGGCGACGCAGAGGCGGCAGTCCAGCACGAAGACCAGCCCGTCGTCGTCCCGGCCAAAGGGCGCGGCGGTGGCGCTGTACGACTACACCAGCACCGAGCAGGGCGACCTGCAGTTCCACGCGCACGACGAAATTGTGCTGCTCAAGCAAGTCAACCCAGAGTGGTACGAAGGCTTTGTCAGGACTCAGCCCGCGGTAAAGGGCATTTTTCCCGCCAACTTTGTTCATGTGACCAAGGAGATACCGCCCTCACCTGCGCCGTCGCCGCAGCAAGCACGCGCGCCCGCACCTGCTGCCAAGGCAAAGCCGCCCCCGCCCAAGCCACAGCCACAACCACAGCCCAGGCAGTCAGCAGCGCCCCCTGCGAAGCCATATGCGCCACCCCCAAAGCGCGCGTCTGCCACGCCGTCGAGCACCTCAGCCCAGGCGCCAACAGCAACTGCCAGCACCACCACAGCCACCCCGGCGCCGAAACCCAAGCCCATCCCAAAGCCAAAGGCGAAGCCAAAGCCAACCCCAAAGCCACCGCCACCTGCACCAGCCGCTAAGACGGCGGCACCACCACCAGCAACGGCAGTAACCACCGCCCGCACAACCACCACCACCACCACTGCACCAGCCGCACCAGCTGCACCAGCAATGTCAGCAGCAGCAACAGCAGAGCAGGAGAGGAGGAAGCCTTCCCCGCGTCCACCGCCATCATCCAACCACCCGCGACACGGGTCGCCAGACCTCAAACCAATGCGCGCTGCGCCGACTCCCACGCGAAATGCACCCCGCCCGCCACAGGCAACGGCTGCACCAGCAAAGAAGGCTGTGCCGTCTGTCTGCAGGCCACCAGGGGCTGTACCGCTGCGCCGGGCACCGTCGACGCGTCCCGCAGCAGAAACCGTGCAGCAACGCAGGCTCTCCATGGGCAAACCAGAAAAGCCGCAGACGAAGCCAAGGCAGACCCATACACAGGCGCCAGCCAAGCCAGGTGATGCGTGTTGACGGGTTGTTGGGGTGAGAGCTGGTGCACGCTTGATGTATGTTGTTGTTGTTGTTGTTGTTGTTGTTGTTGTTCTTCTTCTTCTTCTTCTTCTTCTTCTTCTTCTTCTTCTTCTTCTTCTTCTTCTTCTTCTTCTTCTTCTTCTTCTTCTTCTTCTTCTTCTTCTTCTTCTTCTTCTTCTTCTTCTTCTTCTTCTGCGTCTTACTTGGTGTTTTTTTTTGTTCTGCCAACAGCGCCACGGCCGCGCCCACAGCCCAAGCCGCGGGCAGAACGACCCGTTCGTCCGCGCAGCAGAGTCCTTTCCATGTCCATCCAGGTTCGCTCCCTCCTTCCCACCAGCCTGATCTATGTGCGCGTTTGTATGTGCGTGCGCGCATGTATGTATTTGTGTGTGTGTGTGTGTTTATGTGTGTATGTGTGTATCTGCGCTTGCGATTTTGTACACCGGCACAAACGCCTTGTTGCGTGTGGTGTTTCGTTCTCAACCCCACCGCCGGGTGCACCTCTGTTTCGACTCAGGATCAATCGGCAAAGCAACTCTCGTCCGTTCACGAGGAGCCAGAAGGTACGATTTGGTCCCGCAGTCACCACTCGTTGATGTTGTTGCTGCCGTACTGCCGTGGCATTGCCTCGCTAGCCCGTGGTTGATAACGCATTTGTGTGAACACCCTGCCACTCGCTTGTGCAGAGACACTTGAGGAGCAGATTGCGCGGCTGGAGGCATTGCATGACGAGGCCCTGGATCGTGAGATTGGCTTTGAAACCCTTCTGTCTGTGATGACGGTACGTGCATCAGCTACGATGGTGGCGGTGGTGGCAGTGGTGTGGGTTACAGTTGTGTGCTGTCTCCTATCAAGCAAGTACGGCAGTGCTGAGTGTGGTACCAAGCGCACATGTGTGTGTGTGTGTGTGTGTGTGTGTGTGTGTGTGTGTGGCTGTGTGTGAGTGTGGGGCTGGGTGACACTGCACTGCAGCTCACGCAGCCACCTGGGATGCGCGGGGTTACTCGTTTGGGTTTGCGGGTGTCAGGATTTGGATGACGATCAGCGACAGGAGAAGGAAGAGCAGCTTGAAGCCGCGCGAAGAGAGGTCGCTGATCTGGAGGAACAACTTAACACCCTCTACGCCCAGCGCGGTACGTGTTAGTCGTGACGGTGGTGCTGATGGTTGGGGGCGAGGATGATGATGCTGATGATTGGTGGCGCGGGCTCTGATACAAACCAATGTACTGGGCTTCATCTTGCGGCCACATACTCTCATGAGTACTTGCTCATAACACAAACACAACCAACCATCCACACGAACACGCATGACGTCCTACTCGCCCATGCCCTCATGCTCGTGCAGGGGACGTGAACGAAGAAGAAAGCGACATGAGCCTGTCCGAATCGCAAATCTTGCCAAATGGACGTGACCTTGGCAGCGTTAAGCAGGCCATCAGCGAACTTAACGCCCGCATCGAGGTGACCACATGCGTCATTGCAGACCTGCACCCAGCACAAGCAAACCACGTGCTTGGCGTGTGCGTCTGTGTTGTGTGTGTGTGTGTGTGTGTGTGTGTGTGTGTGTGTGTGTGTGGGATGCATTGCCCGACGTCTTCACTCACCGCCGTGGTGCGTGTGTGTGTGTGTGTGCTGGATGTGATGTACTGCGCATTCATGTGACAGGAGCTTGAACAGGAGCTGGCTGACGAGAAGAAGCAGGCCAAGGCAGCGCAGAAGCTTGCTGACCTGGCGTCCCTTGATACGGCAACGGCGAAGATGGACGTGTCGCAGGTGCAGGCCGAGGCGCAGCGCCACCAGCAGCTCATCCAAACAAAGGAGCTCTTCATCTCCAGTCTTCAGGCAGAGCGAGAAGGGCTCATCGCTCAGGTGTGTGCTGGTGGTGTGCGTGCTTCCTGGATTGCTTGGCGTTGTGACTGCTTGCTTGCTTCATGTCGTTCTTGCTTCTTGCTCCCCATTTGCTTGCTTGCCTGCCTGCTTGGTTTGGTTTGTGTCCGGGCTCGCTCGTGTGCTGGATGCCGCTCGTGTATCGCTGTGAATCCACCATCACCCATGATACTGCTTGCTGCTGCCTGTGGGTCACATGCCACCACACGCCTCACGTGGACTGATTCGTTGCACACGCTCGTTCTTTTTTTTTTTCCTTCTTCTTCTTTTTCGTCTTCTTTTTCGTCTTCTTCTTTTTCGTCTTCTTTTTCTTCTTCTTTTTCTTCTTTTCTTTCTTTGTGTCGTTTCGGGCAGATCCCTGAGCATCTTCGCCAACGCGATTCGATGCTTGTGCGCGAAGTTGAGATGCTTGAGCAGGTGGCGGCGACGGAGGCCGAGCAGCACGAGCTGCAGGAGAAGAAGGCAAAGAAGCGCGCAAACGTGTCGAAGGAACTCGTGGAAACAGAGGAGGAATACCTGGACAACCTTCTCCTCTGCAAACAAGGTTGTGTGTGTGTGTGCGTGTGTATGCGTGTGTGTGTGTGTGTGCGTGTGTGCGAGGTTGAGAAGGGGGCTGTGCTTGTGCTTGTGGGTGTGCGTGAGGGTGTGCTCGAGCTGTTGTCGTGCGAGTGCTGTCCACTGCGCCCACTGATGTTGCTGCTTGTATGACAACCATGTGCGCACGCCTACGGGCCTTGGCTAACGTCTGTGTGTTCCTGTTGCTTGACGCACCTGCGCCTTGGTGCCTGGCAGCGTATCTGGATCCAGCCACGGGCCTGCCGTCGAAGACCGGCTTTGATGTTGCCATTCTATTTGGAAACCTGGAAGAGGTTATTGACGTTGTGCAGGCGTTTTGCCTCCGCCTCAAGCGCGAACACGAGAAGCCCGTCGAACAACAGGAGTTTGGCCGCGCCTTTTGTGACCATGCAGCTGCAATCAAACGAGCTTATGTCAAGGTGTGGGTCCTCGTAGTGCTGGTGGTGGTTGTTGTTGTTGTTGTTGTTGTTGTTGTTGTTGTTGTTGTTGTTGTTGTTGTTGTTGTTGTTGTTGTTGTTGTTGTTGTTGTTGTTGTTGTTGTCGTTGTTGTTGTCGTTGTTGTTTAAGTTGTTGTTGTTTAAGTTGTTGTTGTAGTTGCTGCTGTTGTTGTTGTTGTTGTTACAGTGGTGGGGGTGGGGGTGGTGATAAGATTTTTTTTAGTTGTTGTTGTCTCGTTGGCGTGGAGGCAAGAACAGAGAGTGGTTTGGCCTCCATTTGCGGTTGGGGTGCGGGTGCGCCTGGTCCGGCAGTCGCTGTGAGCTCAAATGGGGCCGTTTTGTGCATGGTTGTTTGACTGTCGTTGCAGGGTATGTGGGTGCTGAGTTCTTGACGTTAATGGACGGGGACCATCATGGCCGTATGACACACGACACTGGCGACTTGACGCCTCAAGGTATGCAGCCAGTGTTTGTCCGCTGGTCGTGGGCCCTCAGCGTTGTGGAGGTGGTTGAATCTGAGTGGATTCATCATGCATTCACACGTAACCACGGTGTGTGTGTGTGTGTGTGTGTGTGTGTGTGTGTGTGTGTGTGTGTGTGTGTGGCTGCAGACACCGTGCCAGAGGCAATAGGCATGGCGGTAGTTGTATGGACGTTTGAGGCTGAAAGCGAAATTGAGGTTTCGGTACGTGTGCAAATGCGTTTGTTCGTTTCAACGAGATGTGTGTGTGCTTGTGTGCGTACGTGTGCGTGCGTGTGTGTACATTTTCTGACAACGCTAAATCTGTGTCTGATTGTTGCTGTGACATAACATGTGCATTTGTCGCTCCCCCTGACTTGCACTTCGCTTACCCGCGTCCCACTCTGACTCACGAATGCTGGCAGTGTGATGAGAACGAGGAAGTCGAAGTCTTGAGTTACGAGGATCCAGATGGCAACTCGGAATGGGTCTTGATTCGTCGTTCCACTGGCGAAGAAGGATATGTTGCCGCCAACTTTCTTCAGTTCGATAGCTAAACTTTTCCGCATGTGTGTGAGTGGGTGTCTGTGTGTGTCTTTCTCTTCGTCTCTGCCTCTATGTGTGTGTGTGTGTGTGTGTTCTGGGCCCTGGTGGGAGACTCTCACCCCGCGTGTTTGAGAGGCAATTCAGTAAAGGCAGTTTGACGCGTGGCAGCAGCTTGATGATGACGATGATGTGTTTGGGGTTGAGCGAGCTGCACCAGGGACAATCGTGGCAGCGAGCGACGTACTTGTGTCCTTTAATTAGGGTAGTGTCCTATACTTGGTTGTCAGAATGCAATAACACAGCATCTCGCTTACCACCGCCTTGTGTAGCGGCTTTCGTGTTGGAGATGTGTATTTGGGGGGGGGGGAAACAACTGTAAATAAACACAGCAAGTGCAAGTACAAGTGCAGAGTGGTTGGTGCTGTGTGTGATGTGAAATAGAGGTGGTCCGCAAGTAGAGAGTGCTGGAGTGAAACCACTGCAATTGCTGCTTGCCACACCATCTAGATTCACCACCACACCACCGCATGCGCTCACTTGAGCGAATGCTGTCTGTTTACACTTTTGATGTGCATGATGTCACAATTAAAGCACATGAATATCACAACTACAACACTCGATTCTTCAATATAATTGTAACCCTAGCATCGTGCAGTTGGTGTTGCATACTCATGGCGGCTCCCCTGGTGAAGATGGTCTGAACGGCGCAAGGGACAAAACTCTCCTCTCACGCACACATACAGAGCACTCACGCTCACTTACACTCACGCACACACACACATGCAAATGATTCAGTTGTATTTGTGGTGCTGTGCACGCATCTATTTTATGGGGAAAGAGATAAAGAAATGCCACTGACAGACAAGAAGACATTGGAACAAAGAATCAAGGTTTCAGTTGGGGGCACACAAGAGTGGCAGCTAAACAGTGGGGGCGAAATTGATCCCAGACCACCTGCTAACCTTGTCGACGCAGCTCCTCGCGGCCTCGATGTCCGCGTCTGGGTCGCAGAAACGCCTCGGTCGTGTACGTGTTTACAGGCGAGTCCTTCCTGCTGAGTCATATAATTGACCTCCCTTCTTCACGACACCACAACGTTGCATTCACCTCGTGTGTGCTGTGTGTGCTGTGTGTTGAGTGGGAGATTGCCTTGGCAGGAGAGAGTTGTGTGTGTTTACTTGAGTTGTGAAGCAAACAAGGATGTAGGATGAATGAACACTCCAACAGAAAGAAACAGAGCAGAAGACAAGAATTGTCGACAACGCAAAGTGGTGACGTGGCAGTGTTTGTTGAGAGTTGTGTGGTTATGTGGTGTGTTATGCAAGAGCATGTAACATCGAGCAACCACACAAGCTAAACACTGCACGTGCAACAGGTTGGAGGGAAATCACGTGAACATTCCAGAACACAAGAGAGGTGAATGCAAATTTGTGGTGTCGTGAAGAAGGGAGGTGAATGATATGACTCAGCAGGCAGGACTCGCCTGTCAACACCTAGCTGCATGCTATTCTTCAGCTCCATCAGCTGCTGCGATAGCGCACTCTGCATGTTCGCCTGCTCCCTCAGCCACTGCTTCATGCCTTTCAACTGCTGCTGCACTTGTTTTTGCATATGCTCCTGCTGTGTCTTGAGCTGCTGCGATAGTGCACTCTGCATGTGCGCCTGCTCCTCCTTCAGCTGCTGTGATAGCTCTGTCACGTCAAATTCCTCTTGCACCTCCACTGACTCATCCGCACCCACATCCCCATTGTCGTCGTCTTGTGCACGGTCCTCTTCGACCTCCACTGGCTCATCCACATCCACATCCCCATCGTCGTCGTCTTGTGTACCATCGTCGTGGTTCAGTCCGTACTGGGGGTTCCTGCTGTTGCGAGTTCATGGTGGTGGTGCTGTTGTTGGAGACTTGTGTGTGTGTGCTGTGTGTGCAGAGTGTGCTGTGTGTTGTGTGGGAGATTGTCTTGGCAAGAGGAAGTTGTGTGTGTTTACTTGAGTTGTGAAGCAAACAAGGATGTAGGATGAATGAACATGAACTGAGAGACACTCTCACACATAGACAGAAAACTGGAGGAGAGAGAGAGAAGTGCCACGTGGCAAAACAACCAGAAACGCCCGTTTCTGGGCGCACGTGCACAGAAACGTTTACAGCAGAATTTGCTGACTCAGCAAGCATTGACACTGGAACAGTGATGTCAACAGTCATCGATGATGTTAGAACCTTGAATAGATTAGCGTGCATATCTTGCATCGATTTTCTCCTGCTTTGTCTTCCCTTTCTTGAGGCCTCACCTGCTCCGCTTCCACCTGTCACTTCCACCTTGTACTTCCTACCTTCTCTTGCCTTACAAGTTCATCTACCAATACACCATCGCCCTATATCGAGATCGATCGCACACACTGCTACACATTGCTACACACTGCTAC